CGAGGACCTCCTCGATCCTGCGTTGCTGCGTGGATGGCATGTCGCTTGTCCGGTTTTCATATTCGAGCTTTGCAAAAAGAGCAAAGTCCAAGAAGGGCGCACCGTCAACAAACCAGACACTGCAATTTCCAACCTCCGCACAAGACGTACTGGCTTTGATGCGTTTGTGTGTTTTAGCTTCTGGAGCTGAGAGACAGAAGAAGAAGGAGAGAGCGCTCACAAAGTGCCGACCACCTCCTACACATGCTCCATGAAACAAAGAGAGAAAGAAAGCCCACTTGCGGGCAGACTAGCTTGCAGACGTCAGACTTACCTGCCTCCTCCGCCTCCTCGGCTTGCAGAGTCCCGTGAAATATGAAGAGAAAGAACGAGTGAGGGCGCAAGGGGAGCGAGAGAGACTTTTTGAGTAGTGCCGTGAAGTAACACATTGTGGCACCAGTTTGGGGTCCGAACTGAGGCGTGCAATTGGTTCCCTCTCCCACCTGGGTTTCGACTTGATTTTCGATCGTTCCTTGTGGGTCGGAGTGGCGAAGAGATGACAGTGAAACAGGCCCGCCAAACTCGTGGTGCAGTTTCATACGTCTCGGCTTGGGGCAAATGACTTCGCCATGCCAAGCCCAGGAGTGGTCCGAGGGTGCCTGGACATATCGAGCCCTGGCCGGAGTGGCGCTGCTTGGTTCTTCGGGCCTTTCGGCTGCACAGGCATCAGCTTGTACAGCGCTTGCACAGGCCAGCCCCTGCTCCGCAAAACCCTAGAGGGCCCTCAGGCCCTCAGGCCACATGCTCTAAAAGGTCTTCGAGACCTAGGAGTGGCCTGGGCATCAGTCCAGCCTCAATTCAGGCTCAAGTGTTGAACCACAGAAAAAGCTGAGGCAGCGACCTCGTCGTAAAGGACAAGGCGACGCTCCTAAATTTAGCTGGGTGCTAGGCGAGTGGTGAAGAAACTGAAGTGGTGGGATCCCAATATTGGGTTGGCGATACAGAGTGACCCTGGGCACGTAAGCACTTCTGTCTGTTTCAAGATCGTTTCCAACCTTGCCGTAAGCATGTGCACTGTCTGCAGGCTCTGCAGAATCAGGATGCCGATGTGAACAAGAAGCGGTGGCCTGGCGGAAGCTGAACTCTGCCTCAGCCTCTCTTTGCCCCGCGTAAACCTGCGCGATGCCTTACCGGGTGCACAAGCATAAGCTGCATCCCCGAACTCTGAGCCCGAACTCTGAGCCATGCTACAGCATGTGCTGGATAGGTTCTCCAGACACTGCAAGCACTTTCGCACACTTTCTAAAACACAGGAAACTGGCATCCGCGCAGCTTTTTCCGGGTGGGGGAGTGGGGCGCGCTGTCTCCTGGCCTGGTCCTGCGGTCCCTCCTCCGGTCCTGGAGCTGTGCAAACTTGCTTCCAACATTATCGGGTCACCAATGGCGCTCCACAGAAGTATTCATTGGCTGCTGTGTCAGCTGCATCAGCAAAGCTCAGGCAACCGAAAAACATTGCGAACACGTCGGTGAAGCACGGCTTTACATTCATCGTCGGCCTTCGTACTTGCCCTTGGCATTGGTGTCATTGGAGCTCCGCCCTTCCAGCTATAAGCACCGGGTTCATCCCGAAAAATAATCCTAGGCCCATCTAGGCCCCAAGACGCGTGCTCATACTTCGGGAGCGTCTCGGTCGGCTACTGGTCCACAAGCAGAATCCATCGCGCCCATCATGAAAAAAGAACGGGGAACAGGTCATCCAGTTCCGCCTTTGCGGTTGTTATCCTTTTCTTTCACGCAACCTCCTGTAGATGCCAGATGCCGGAGTCGTTTTCCAAGCTGGACATGTTTGGATGTTTTTCCAGCTCAAGTTCTGCGATAGCGTGATTACGGAAAGAGGAAATTCCATCAGTTCATACATCATACATATATACATACATACATATCGCCCCAGTCGTGTCTTCGAAAGCAAATCTGCTGTTGCCACCATCATGGGATCCCGCACTATGTGTTCCAGCTACGGCTGGCCGGCTTATGCAAGTAACTTGCCATGGCTCCTGCACGATCTGGTGCAGATCGAGCTCCAAGTCTGAGCTTCTGAAATCTTCGTCTGTTTGAACAACGCGTGCCAGACGAACTGCACCGAACAGAACACTCCAGGCGCTGCCCGGGACCCGGGAGGTACCACATTGAATCGAAATGTAGCCTCTGCGTGGCCTGCCTCCTATTGGTACGCTGTACACCAGGCGAGAGAGCTTGTGTTACTTTTTGGCACGGCACGTTACCAAGTCCGCATTAGCAATGTCCCAGAACCTTGAGCCATGTCAATGTCAGAGCATCTGGATGGATTCCCACTGGTGGTGCTTCACCGGCCCTCCCCCGCCCCCGCCCCCTCAGCATCACACTTTCGAACGCTGGACAGGGTCCGCTGATCTGCTGTCGGGTCGACAGGGTTTGATTGGTAGAAGGGGCCCGTTCTCAGATAGTCGCGATTATCTCTGGGTGATTTAGAAACGAGTTCAAGATTCAAGATTATTCTTTCCAAATGGGTTGAGGACGTGTCAGGGGCCTGATGCGAAATACCAGCACTCACAAGCCAGCAAGCTAGTGAGCCAGTGACTTCCACGCAGATAGGTTGTCAACTCGAGTATCGCAGCTGAGCCCCCCAAGGAAAAGGGAACACGAGGCCCCGAGGCAGGTCTCGCCGCGGGAGGAGCTGATCAAGGCGTGGTGCCCAGCAACGACGAAGGAATTTGGAGTACAGGTGATCGGGTCTCCGATCGATGGACGGGTTTTGGGCAGAATGCCGCACTTAGTCGTTGCAGAACGGCCGGCCAAAATTTTGATCATCTCGATAACACGACGCGGCGACGCGTGCAGGAAGTCTTCATGCACTTCGATACCAATCACGATGGCCTTCTGAAAGCCGTGGAGATGCTTGCCTTCGTACCTTGGACGTGGGAATCCGTTTGTCGCGGCTCCCTGGGGATGTAAGTGCGGGCCGAATCAGGCCAAAGTGGTCACTAGAAGGCCTGGAGTAGTCAATAGCGCCGCCTGAAGGGTTTTCTGTGTTGCCGATGTTGTGGCTTATTGTTTTTTTCTTTGTGCTGGGTTGCGGTTCATCAATCGCAGCTTGGTTTTCAATCTCTCAAAAGCTGCTTTCATTTGGATCACCATTATCTTTATGGCGGCGGGTTTCTGCTTGATCGTGTTCTTCGTTTTGGTTCTTGCTTCGATTCTGCTGACGCCTCTTGAGTTTCCGTTTTGGTTTATAGTGTTTTTGCTGGGGTGCACTCTGCTGTTTTCAAAGTTTTGGTCGTGTCTCGCTTTGGTGAACTGCTTTGCTGTTTGCTTTGGCCGCTTGTGTCTGCTTGTCCAACTAGCTGCTTCGTTTCAGTCATGTGCAGGAGCAATCACACCACACGTTGAAAGCGGTCTCATGTGGTCTGCCAAGTACTTTTTGCCAGCTGCTTGACTACCAGCGCTAGGCTCGTTCCGTGGGCTTTGATGGCGCGGAAGACCAATGGAACGAGGCAGGCAACAGAAAACCGAAAGCTGAAGGCCTTGCTAGCACAGAGTGTCACTCAGATGCCCAAGATATCTTGAGATGAAGCTGTTTACAGTTTCGAGGCCGCAGAATCAAAATTCAATCGTCGGCACTCAAAGGGGGAGAACGTTATGAAGGAAGGTTCTGCTCGTCACTCCTAACTAACTTGCATAGCAAAGATGGGTACAGGCGAGCAAGTCTGACAAATTCACTCAGCTTCGATACATCCGAAACCAGACTTTCAAAATGCGAGCCAGGAGTACCGGCTCATTTGCGATGGCCTCGGCCGGCGGCCAGAGCAGGGCATTGACCACAGCTCCTTCTTCCGTTTGGTGAATGAGGCCCTGCAAGGGCATTTAACTGACACGCTGTTCTGTGGAAACGTCATTGAGATCCTCTTGAATTCTCATTTCCCAGCACAATTGGGTGATTGCAGTGCCAGGAGTGTCAGTATTCTGCAGTTGTTTTAATGATGTTGTCCATTTGCGCTCTTCTGCTTGCTGCTGTGGTCAGACATTTTTGCGCAGCGTGCTCAGATTGCGATTACGCATGCAGGACACCGACGATGGCTGCTACTGCTCCGATAAGGACCAACACTGGATAGCACTAAACGGCCCTAGGGCCGCTAGACGCAGACCATAGCCATGTGTCCCCATTTGCAGCTTGAAAAGCTGGCTCGAGTCTCTGGCCTCGCCCCGGCAGACACGTTAGCGAGCTTCAACGCTGCGCTTCTTGAGGAGCTGGCAGGCATGCTTGGGCGAAAATGGCCGCCCCCGAGAGTTGTGCTACTGCCTCAGCATGTCTCTTGTGCCAAACCCCCTAAAGCCTAATGTCTCTCGTCGGGCTACCAGGCTCCTGGCTGAGGGCTACTGGGCTTTCCTATTGTTGGTTTTGTGCTTCGTTGCATGCTCGCATTAGCCGCTTCCATATGCTTGTCTTGGCCGCCAGCGCCGCTCAATAAACACCTAACTGGCACGCTTGGATTCGGTGCTCAGGTCCTGATCCAGCGCTGTGGAATTGCTACGCGTGAGTGACCGTGGTCTACTCAGAGGAGTCCCTTGAAGTAGCTTCCAGCCGGCGTGAAACTGCCGCGGAATGTCTCAGATCGCTAACCCTTCCCTTTGGCACCTAGATTTTCGGGCCGTGGGCCTGTCGGGATTGCGTCCCGATGATCCTTGGCAGAATCGTGCCAACGCTCTCAACGACTCGAGAGCTTTATGCTCGGGACCCCGGTTGGATCCCCTAGCACCTGCGGCCACGAAGACACGGAAAAGAAGCTTTTGCTGGAACCGACACGAAACCCCATATGGGCCCCATATGCACAGCTGAACTCCAGACTGGCCCCCATTGTCACAGAGGCAACGGGTAAGCTCTCATCAGTAAAAGCGTTAATCACCCACGAGCACAGTACGTGTGGACGAAAGCAGGCCAAGTTTTTTACTCAAGGAAACTCACTCGGTGTCGCGCATCCTGGCAGGCCCTGAGGCCTGCGCCTTCCTTGCCTCGCAATGGAGCAGAGGCGGAGGCAGGGAGAGGTTTGAGAGGTTTGGGAGTGAAAGGCACCTCGGTGCCACGCACTGGGGATGCACCGTGGCATGGCAGACTCTGCATGGCAGTTATGGCAAAGGAGGTTCCTCACAACTGGGTTTCAAGTCCGAGGGGTGAACCTCGTTGTCATTCTTTTGGATCTTTTGGGCTCAGACGCTCGTCAAAGAACGGGCTGCCACCCGGCCGGGCCGAAGCTTCTGAGCACGAAGACTCGGAGGTTTTTTTTATATCCACCCAATTCTGAGAGTCAAAACGGTGGCAGCAGCCAGTAGATACAAAAGCTGTAGGTAATCCCGGCAATGTGCGGAGCTCACCACAAACAAGGCCCGTGATGCCAGCCGTTCGCTCATCTCGCATGTGAGGCTCAGCATGCAGAGTCCTAAGGCAGACAAAGGGGTTGAGGCCTACCGAATCGTCTGAAGGCCATGCAAGCTTCAAAATAGTTGCTTTGTGCCCATGGCCCAGCTGCCGGCCTCGTGCCCTTTTGCCACACGGAAGGCAGGAAACTGGGTCGGTGCCCTCTGATCGTCGTTTGACATACGAAAACCCTGCAGTGCAGAGTAGGGTTGATCCGGTCAAGGGTCCGAAGGGAAGAATGCTTGCAAATCGAATGAATGCAGTTGCGTCTCCTTTGGGATCGTGTCTTTGTAAAAGGTGTCGGGTTCAGGAGTTTACAAGTTCCCAAACCCAGTTCGTAACACAAGCAGAAGAAGAAGCAAGGTACAACCCTTCCTTGCCCTGGAAGTCCTGTAAGCCGACTTAGATATGATCTGCGGAAAGTCGTCGGCAGGGTCCCAAAACAGTCTGCCGAGGGCTCTTGACCTGGCTGGACTGCTGGCAATGGCGCATGATGCACTGCACCTATGGCTCCCGGACCCTTGGGCAATGCCATGTCGGTGTAGGATTTGCCCAAACTTCCCAGACAACAAGCTCTGCACCGCACTCCAGTGCTTTTGGACAGTTCTCTGCGCAGTTCTAGGCGGTGTTTTAGTCGGACCAGGATCGGGAGAGGGAAATCCGCCATGTCGGTGTTGAGGGGCTTTCCATGACGAGTTCGCACGAGCTTCTGCAAATGATATCGGAACCTTGGGCAGGACATTGCTGCATTTGTTGCGGTCCTGCTCTTTGTCCTGGCAGCCTTCGGCTTCTCTGCTTTAATAATCTTCAACCTATACCGTTGCTTGCGCTAGCAAGGAGGGCGGCAAAAAAGCACTCATCTTGAACTACCACTGAGTTTCTCTTGGCAGTTCTTGTGGCAGTTGTTGCTTCCATAGCCCAGTACCTGCCCACCAGTTTCTTCCACCGTACGAGAATTCATGTAACCCTTCATCCAACCTGCAACCTTGAGCTAAATAAGAGCTGCTTTGAAAGAGACCGGCCGGAGGCTTCGTTCAAAGCTTCGGGGCAACTTCGGAGGCCGCGAGCACGCACAGCATGTGCAGCATATGGCTTTTCTACTTTGGAAAGTTGCCTCCGTGCCAGAGGCTTAGGGTTGAGACTGGACTGCGCAGCACCCCTGAAACCCGAAAAGGCTGGACCGACCCCATCCTCCTGTGAGGCTGCACAGCTACGCGCCTGGGCCGCTCTGCCCTGGAAGCCGGTGCCCTGCTCTGTACAGCACCTGGCAAGCACAAGAGGTATGCATGACCTCGGTCTGGCTTCAAAAGAATGTTGCTTGACGTTGAGATTTTGTTTTCAAGTTCCGTGGGCTTTGGGCAGCATTCTTGGTCTATGCAACTTCAGATCCCTTGGCTGAAGCAATTCAGGTCCATGTCAGGCGGTGCCCCACCTTTTGACATAGAATTTATTTCAAAAGTTCCTATTCGTTTCACTTTCTGTGAAGCTGGTGTGGTTTGGGCATGGCCTCACGAAGCATGGCTCTCTGTAGATAACTGCAGAGGGAGTGGGCTTAACGATGTCGCAGTTGGCTGTCTAGCCTTTTGTACTCTTTTTGAAGACCTTTGTGCCAAGGGCAGTAGGCGTGGCCTACAGGGGCACGTGCAGCTTGGACTCGGACCAGGAGAGGTACGAGGAGACAATCCGCTGAGCCAAAGCAAGATTCAGATAGAAAAGAATCATGATTGCATCTTGTGCGAGGAGAAAGACTTTGCCGAGTGCCTTGGTGCCTCCGACACTGCTTCTGGATGCTTGGACACGAAGTCACCCATCAGGGCACTACCTGACAACTTCTGCTATTCCTGAGTGCTCCAGTATACTTTGAAAAAGGAAGGCGCTGCGGCAAGGCTGCGCCCAAGCCAAATAAAAGGGATTGCTGCTTTGAAAGACTCTGAGAATCTGGCACCCTTCCAGACATTCTCCGCCTTTTACCAAGCATTTCTAACCGGCTTAACCGTCTGAGGACAAAGCCTACATGACATCATTGACGACACCCGGTTCAACTCCACCCAGGGGCTCTGCGGGTAGCTTGGGCTTTTGGGCAAGCAGAGGATGTCAAGATGTTGAGGGCATGGGCGAAAACGGCAGCTGACTCCATCTTGAAGATGTGTTGAGGCAAGTGTCGACTTCGAGATTCCAGGCCTTGGCCGACACTTGGCCCTCCTGATTATGTCCGATCAGCTTGAAACGATGCCATGTCTTCGCGGTAGCTGCAGGTTCCCGACGTGCGCAGGTCAAAACCTTAAGGGTTTGACTTCAGACTTCAAGCAAAGCTCAGGAGTCAACAGCGTTCGCCGGCCGGCGGCTTCTCATGCGCACCTTGCCTGCTGTCACTCACGGAGTGTTCGAATCTTGCAGCACTCGCTGAAAGACCATGAAAACAACAGCTGCATCTCAGCCCTTATAGCTAGTTCCACCGACCTAGCCCCTATGCAGAACACAACAAAGGATCACCTATGGCAAAAGTAGAAAGCTTGATTCACCCACAATCGCCTGCAGCATGCAGCTCGTTTGCGTGTCAGCCTCTCCACACCCGCGTGTACGTACCGACGAGCACCCCAGGCCTCGGCACTGATGAGGAAAAACCACGGAAAATCCAGGAAAATCCAGCAAGAATCCTGCACGCGCCGCATTCGGATTCCTGAAACATGGCGACGTCAAAGGCCAGACCTTAGGAGCTACACTGTTCGTAACGATGGTGAAATTGGAGTGACGATGATTTTCAACGTTTGCCAGTTGCAGCTTCCTCCTCGAGAATGCTCAGTGACTCCTCTCCTTCCTTAGCTGTCCACGCACTCTGCCGCACTTCCAAAGATTCCAAGCGAGCTCATGGCGTTGATGCTCCTGATCCAGGAGCTGCTGTTGGCATAGTCCTGTTGATGTGCCCGCGTCAATCGTCACCCCTTCCCTGCATAGAGATGAAGGTGAAATTGTTGTCTTGTTTCTGTCTTCATTGTTGCGCACACTGCTTGACTGCTACAGTGAATTCAAATCTGTTTTAAACCTTGGGTGACCCCCAACATCCTTAGCAATATTGCATCTTGCCAGGTACGTCTGTGTCATGAAACCATGCCCAGGCTCTTTGCGCTGCAAAGTTCAAATCAATCGTACCTGTCATTTGGCACGAGCTAAGGTTTCTTTCACCCACGCGGTCCGGGAGACATGGTGGGGTCCCGCTTCATTCCAATTGCCTGGCGATGCCACGACAGCCTCTTGGAGAAAGAACGGGCAACACAAATGTTCGGCAGGTCGGCATAATGAGCGTGGGCTTGGGTGGCAGGGCTCGAAAGGAACATGGGGGGGCGAAGCTCAGGTTATCTTCCTTGGGCTGTGGTCCGCGTTGACGAGGGTGTCAGATGTGCCTCGCCTGCAACGTTGTGGAGCAGCCATCACACATAGAGCCTTCGCCAGAAATGCACTCAATTCATCCATGAGTAGACCCTCACTCACTCGCAGTCCGGGCATCCAATCACCGAAATCACCCAAATCACTCCCAGCACTCCAGATCTTGAAGCTGAAGCCCCGCGTGCTGGCAACAGAAAGATGCCTCCACTGATTAAGGGGCATTCTGAAAGTGATTGTGGTACACTCAAACTTGCTATTTTTCTTTTTCTGCGTTCCATGGGGTGTCTTATGTTGCAACTTAGTGTTGTAGTGTTGCGTTGGGCTGGAACTCGCACCTCAACAGACCACCACCGGTCACCACCAAAAGGAAGGGCAAACCAATGTTTATTATTGGTTAACGTCCATGACCGGTTCAGCCGGGATGCCAACCTCGACCCACCAAGTGTCTGAGCCAAAGCTGCATCCTGGTGACACAAAAGCGTCTCCAGCAAGGTGCATACGCGTTTGGCGCGCCGAAGGTCGGTATTGGCATTGGACAGTGCGAGATTTGAAGCTTTCTGCTGACATGCAGGAGATACTGCACTAACAGATTCTGACGTATACTGAGGATTGATAGCAGCTCGCGAATTTTCGAGAAGATGCTAGGCACGATGCAACTGAATGCCAGTGTCAGAGGCCTCCATCTACAGCCGGTGGGAAGAGGTCCAGTCGCCGGCTGGCATCTGGCAGTGCTGGTTTAGCTGTGTACATCTAGCAGCAATGCGTCAGTGCATCGAGGTACCAGGGCATGATCCTTCGCTGTGACGCATAGGGCTGAATAGGGACAGTGATGGTAATGATCGGCGCGCCTACATGACGGCAGCAGTACTACATGCATGAGCCCTACCCCATGCCTCGCACCCTGGGCAGAGCAACCTCCGCCCAGGGACGATCTTCAGGATCTGGGTTTGGCGACGCCCGGCCAGGATTGCAGAAACAGTATGCAAGCGAGTGGACGGAGCAATGGGTTGCGCTGATTGCAGGTTAGCATGCAATGGTTGCCCTTGCTGGCTCAGGAAGGGCATGACAGATGGTGCGGAGTCTCTCGGCCAAATACAGACCAGCGACATGGTTTGATCCAGTTGTCCCTCACATTGGCTGAATCACCATTCCTCCTTCTGGGGCTTTGGTTCTGCAGGGCGCGTCAAAACTATGGGAAGGCGTTATCTGAAGCCTTGGTCCCTGCTTTTCCTGTCCACTTTTCTCGACGGCAGAGGTGCTGGCGCCCTCAAGGGGATTTTTGCACCGTCGCCCTGAAGTCGAACCGCTTCCTCATGGAACAAGAGGGCGGCAAGCAAGAGGCAGGATCTCTCCAACTTGAAATGTAAATCCGAAACAGCAGGTGCGATTTGCTTCACGTTCTTTGATGAATCAATGAGGGGTTTCGGGATGTAGCTGCTGCAGCTGCTGTAGCTCTGCAGAGCGGGGAACGACGACGACTCCTCCAATTGATAAACAAGAGCTTACCTGGCTTACTTGCGCGCTGCAAGCCAAAATGCACAACAGGTGCGGAATCTTTCCTGCGACCCAGCAGAAGCGCAACTCCAGTTTATAGTTTACAGCATATGGCTCCAAAACTTGAGATCAGTTGGTGTGGAAAGTGGCATCGCTCGAATCTTGATCAGTTGGTGAACGACATGTCTTCTTATCTTTGAAAGAGCCCATGTGCTATAAGCAAAAGAGGAGAAAAGAAGGGCCGAATTCGAAAAAAGAACAAGGGGGCAAGCCAAGAACGCCAGCTGTTCGGGAGCTGCATGGTAGACCCTCGTGGCTCTGGGGGGGCTCTACAGTGTGGAAAGTCTTAAGTGATCAGCCTTTGGAGCCCCCAAGTGCTTTAGTTCATCCTGCTTCGGAGGCTGCTCTTTGGGAGAAGAAAGCAGTGGGAAGCTGATTGGTTCTTAAGTTCTTAAGGAATGCTTGAGGCTGGGTTTTGCTTTTGTTGATCGGGCTCGGCTTCTGATACCTCGCTCATACCACAACCCGCGTGCACGGGTTGAACCCTCTGTTTTCAGAATGGCCTGGTGCTCTGACCTCAACATGACAGCGCATCACTGCGCATTTTGAGCTACTGGTAGTAGGCATCTCACAGGTGCAACTTGTGAGGTTGATTGTTGTGTGTTCAGGGTGCATCGTCCAGGTCTGGCGCAACGTTGCCGTTGCATTAGCCTCGGTATCTTTGGCCCTGACGGTCTTTGCGGTCGTGGCATATCGGCGACACCGCGTTGGACACGATCCGGTGCCTCCTAGCAGGGCCTCGTAGCCTAGATGCTTTCTCCCTTGAAAAGGTGCATGATAACGAAGCCGAAAGCCACTGTCACTGCTCTGTTTGCTTTCCGAATTCCGGCTGCGGAAGTTTTGAAGTTACATTTCGCCTTGCTGGCTTGGTCCTCGCTACTCCGCGAGAGGTACCGACAGAGGACCCAGAGGACATGGGACCGATTTAACTTCCGCGTTCCCCAAAGATTTCAGGGCTGAAGTTCTTGGATGCTGTTGTGAATAATGACCAGTGCCGGGTGAATGAAGTTGTGATGTTGTGAGACGCCTAGCAAGGCCGAAGGCTTGCTACGATGATTCGTAGTTGTCAGACAACAGCTCGGCCTCGAGCAGAAAACATGGATGCAGCCTGTAGTAGCAGCAGAGGCGATCGCAGCAACAGCAAAGGGCACTTCTCTCAAACAGGAGATCGAATCGTTGACTGAACGCATTCACCGACTGGTGACCGGCGCGGCGGCCAAGGTCTCGGCTTCCTAGCTGCATCTAGCTGCCTTGAGATGCAGATGCCTTGAGATTGCTGTTTGCGTCCGAGACATGAGACGTACGAAGGACGAAGCTATTGGTCAACCCGGGAACCCAAAAACCCAACCGAGAACAATGATGCCCCATCAATCCTGAACCGGGGACTTTGGGAGACTCCAACAGCTCGGTGATATCCGTGGTGAAGCACTAAACGGAGAACCCAATCCCAGAGGGGCTTTCGGGAAAGAACATTTGTGTGCGTCGTGTGGTCTGGTATATGTTCTTATGATGCTGGGGCTGGGACATCACGTCGCTGAGGTGTTCATGCGACACAGTAAAGAGATACATACTCGATCGGTCTTGCCTGGTTCAATCTTGCAGTCGTCCCGAGGAGAGTACCCCGCAGCTTTCCGGTCGAACCTCCCGTCGCACGGTTCGGGCTGCCTGGTTCGACTCCGGCAATGGCAGGACTGCAGAGGGTTCGAGGAGGGGCTGTTTACGGATAGCGAGGCTAGCGGTGTAGCAAAGCAAAAGGAAGCAGAAGGTTTGGACATCAGGCTGTCGAACGCGTCCATAATGCATCCTGATCAGGGTTTCTGGATTGATCTACAAGTGGTGTGCTAAGTGCTATTGATGTGCTAAGTCATCTGACAAGTACCTGTCATTGTTGGGCTCGTCAGTATGTTGCGTCATGCTGCGCTCCTGCACGTAAGGTCACCACTGACTATAGCAAGACCCCACAAGCACCACCATTGACTTGGGCACCTAAGTTGTTTTCGGGATAGTGGGTCTCATCGCATTGATTTGAGAAATCCTGAACACGACTGCGCGGAAAGAAGGTTGACCGACTCAAGCATGGTATGAAGAAAATGTCTTGGCTTGCGCGTCAGCCCCAAACACCAAAGATGCAGCGAATGTCTGTCGCTTCGGCTGGTGCCTGGGACTAGAGGATAATGATATATAATTATTGAGATTAGCCTCAGAATCTCTGGAGTTTGCAGGCCGAACCAAAATCTGGCCGCAGACTTTGCTGATGCGGCTGCACGCGCTCAAAGCCATGGCGCAGCATGAAAAACGACAGCGGTTCGCAGTTGATAGGCTTGCACCTTAACATTTGGCGAATGGGAATCTGGCCTCAATGGCTTGAAGAGCACTGTTCCGCAGCGGCATGCAAGGTTTTTGTGCCAGTGTTCCTTTGTCAAGCATCCATGTGTAGCGACAGACATGCCGAAGTTCATGAGTGCGGGTCTTCGCTTTGTTCAGGTGTCGCAGAAGAGCCTCACCCCACTGCCCACACGAGGCTGCGGGGCTGCGAGGGCTGTTTGTGTTCAGGACACTATTCGGGGAACCGGATGGAGACTGATCCGTTCGTTTCATGTGCAGACAAGGTGCAGAGAGCCTGGCTCAAACCAGTCCAAATTGCGAGAATGCTGTTGGCTTCAAAGCTACAAGTTTGTGTTAGCGACTGCAGTGTTGCCGCAGATAGGCAGAGGGCACGAGTGCGCCAGTCGCCCCATGAACGACACCCATCCTCTCAAGCCAAAGTGTTGCGACATCCTTGCCGAGTGTTTCTCACTCCACCAGAATCCCGAGCTGTGCTGAGCCCTACTCCCAACTGCTAAAGTCGTTGCGTTTCTTACATGTGACCAGCAGACATTGCGGGAGAGTGTTTCGGGGGGTCGTTGCGTTTGGGGTGTCTACATGGGGATTTACATGAGAAGTCCGTGCTAGTTTGCTATAAACAAGAGCGGGAAACGATTATAAGAAAGTCGTGCCTATTCGTAAATCGCAAGAGAACGCGCGCAGCCATGTAAAACCTTGAATTATATCACAAGTGGCTCAACATGACTCAGCTATCCCGACAAAGATGGGAGAACAAGCTGGGTCAAGCAGATTCCTAGAATCTGGTGCACGCAGATGAACCACAGTTATCATGACTGAATAACAGAAAGCACAGGACGCCTTCAAAGTACACCTCGCAGGTATCGTCCTTATACAAAAAGTCAATTGTGACAGGTATCGTCCCGACCAGTGAACATTTTCCGGAAACAATGTTATACTATGGTCAGATGCCTTCAAACTACGCTCGCAGATATCGTCCATATACAAAAAGTCAATTGCGAGAGGTATCGCCCCGACCAGAGAAAAGATCCGAAAGCAATGTAGAAAAACTGAAATGCACTGAAAGTACGTGCTGTTCCTTGGGGATCGAGCGCCAAATGCCTCTCTGAATGATCTGCTTCATGGCTTGTTGGGGACCGCTGTTCCTTGCAGCAAAAGGTGATTGCAAGGACCCTGCCGCGACCCCCTCGTTGCGCCGTGTTCATTAGGGATCTCTACAAAAAACCATGTTTGCAAGGACTTCCGCGTTTGGGAGTATGACTCTATGACGCCCGCACAGGTGCTGGGGCTGCTGACGCCGCTGACGCAGCCACCCCACAGGTGGCACCGTGGCGGCTGAGGCTGGAAACTGAAACTTGAAGCTGGGAGTTTTGAAGGGCGAAAGGGCGAAAGGGCGGAGTTCGGGAAATCTTTTGGAGTTTAATGGCTAGGGGTTGGGCATCCATCGAGTCGGATCGAGTTTCTTGTGGCGGCATTCACCAGCAAAAAATGGCTTGCGCAAGCGATGCAGCCAGTGGGCAGATGCGGGCAGATGCGGCAGCAAGCAGCCACAACTTCTAGTGGTTGTGGAATGCTACAAGGAGCTCTGACCAGGCCATGTTCACATGAGCTGTAGCTTGACGCTCCTCCGAAGCTGTTTGCCTTCAGTGGACCCTTCCACGGACTCTTGGGTGCATGGTTTCCTGAGCGAGACAGAAGTCCTTGAAAGCAACAGCACGTCCCGTCAGGAAAGTCCACGAGGAGGCGCGAAGGGTCACATCAAAGGATGGGGAGGGACAGATGCGCACAGCACGAACACAAACATGTGAACCTTTAGGCTTTGGGTGTGTTCCAACATCCTGCTGGCAGTCATGACGCTACGGAGTATCCACGGAGTTGCACGACACATGGCCTATCTGGAGCTTTGAATCTCAAGCTCTACAGCAGTGAAAACATCGGTCACTTGTTGCCGATCATCATGAAGGGGACCTCTCAACATGCAGGTTGAGCATGATAAACTTACTACAGCCTGCTCGGAATTTGAAGCATTCAGAAGGGCATGCACTCTGTCACGGCGCGGCAAGCACAGGGCTGAGTTACTACGACAAGTTACCATGTCATGTAGCTGTCACGTGTCATTTGCCATAGCGGCGCCCTGAATGACGCGTCTGCAGCTTCACGGGGCAGGATGCATCAGGCCCAGTATCCGAGCAAAGCAGGTGGCCCAGCTCAGGATAGGATCTTCTGCTTCGGGGAGAAGGTGCAGTACTTGTCACGTCGCACTGGCCAGTGGATACCGGCCATCGTGCAGGGTCATGCTGTGGTTGCTGCGCCCGGCGGCCCAGAGTTTCACTATCACTTGGACGTGCAAGAGGCTGCCCATCCAAGCCGCGTGCGAGCTGCAGAGACCCCGGCGACGCAGGTGACACCGGTGACACAGCCGGCCAAACCCACAGCACCAGCTCAGCCTAAACCAGAGCTACAGCCAAAGCTGCTGCAGCAGCCGCAGCGGCCACTGACCCCGTCCCCGGTCGCATTGCCACCTCCGGCATCAGCCCCTGCACACGTATGCCCCGTTCCCGCTCCCTGCACTGCCTCACCCGCTGCAGCCGGTTTATCAAAGACCACCAGGTGGCAGCTCATGTGCCTACATGCGGAAGGCTTCTCACAAGACGTGCTGCAGGCCCTCCCGAGCACATTACGGGCCCTGCCCCTTCAGGATGGGAAGTCTCACCTTGGGAGGCAGCACCAGGCCAAGTTCCTGGAAGCTTTGCTGGTGAATGCTCCACAGTTCCTGAGCATCATATCCCGCACACACGCAGATGTTGAGGCCCCAGCAGGTAGCTCCAAGATCAGGATTACAAACCTCACACTGAACCCCATCTTCGTGAACACGACTGCGCTCTGGCAGGGGCAGTCTAGCGAGCTTGGGCCGGGCGCAACCCTCAGCTTTGCCAGAAATCAAGGCGACGACACTCCACACCATTTCCTAGTCCTGCAGCTGCAGGCTTTGGATGCGGGGATGCAGAATGAAGTGAAGGGACAGGCAGCCAAGGCAGAGGCAAAAGCGCTACTTCAAGCCCCGACGCCCATCGCCCCTGCCGCCCCTACCCCCTCCGCAGGCCCACCACAGCCTCCAAGCCCCTCGGCTATGCCCACCGTAGATGTTGCCAAGGTAGGGATTCCCACAGAGGTACTGCAACACCTGCGTGCCATGGAGACCTGCAAGCTTGACAGCCCAAAAACCACTACGAGCAGCACTGATCCCAAATGTGCACCCAAGGAGCCCAGAGAGCCTGCCTCACGCCCAAAGCCGGTGCCAGAGCAGGATGCCCAAGCAGACCCAAAGCCAGCTCCCAAGCCGGAGATGCAGCAGACGCCCAAGACGCCCAAGCCGCCCTCGCAGCAGAAAAGCTTCCTCGAATGCAGCGAGCTGACCTCGGGCCCGTCAGCGATGGAGGCGCGTGCGGGCTAGAAACCTAATCACTAATTTTAATGATGACTAAGGGGGGGGGTTTCTATGGGCGTTTCTGATGAGCCCAGACGCTCTCGCCTAGGCGACGTACAATCGCGAACGGCCCTCTCGGTCGTGTTTTCGGAGAGGCAAAGAAAGGCTCTCGCCTAGGCGTACGCTGGCTCCGGGGAAGCCTCATCTGCAGTGCAGAAAGCAGAAAGTCTTGGAGTGCTCCTGGAGCTTGTGGGGTGTTGAAACGCAAGTGGTCTTCCACTGTTTGGGGTCTATGCTGGCATACGCTGGCGTAGGAATGCAAAGTAGGCGCGGCTGTCGTAGCGTCTAGTTGTCGAGCGTCTATGAGCATCTTGTAGTGGTCGGGGTGCCTGCTTCTGTGATACCTGCGGCTGCCATGCCGTTTTGGACACAGGCTGCACCTGACCCGGTGACCATCGAAGAGACTCTGCCCGTGGCGCCGGTGCCTTCGCCTACATTTCGTGACTCGAAACTGCCAGGGTTTTGAAAACGTTTTCCAACACACCCACGGTCTTCTCTCGATGCTTACAAAACACTGGCCTCTGAGGCCCCGACCTTGGGGCCATGTCCAGCGCTGGCACAGCTCCCGGAGGAGGCCCGGGAAGTGCACAGGGCTTCAATGGGATTCAATTGGGCTTCAAGTCCGAAACCTTGGCACCAACTTACAGAAGGTTTTGTTACTCAATCCCTGTCCCTTCAAGAGCCGCTCCCAGTGTAGCGGCGCAAGCCGAGGCAGCTGTGGAAGACTCGTCGGACCAAACGAGCTGCTTGCCTTTGAGCCCACCAGGCTTTTTCGGATCCTGCGCAAGCGAAACTCGTTTGGGCCTCGTAACCCGAGGCAGTGGGCCCCACATCACCCTGGAATTGCACGGAGCTGGCGTGAAGCCTGAGGCAAGCATTCTCAGCTGGAACCTAGGCGCTGCAATCACCGAGCTTGGCCAGGCTATCTAATCCTAAACTTAAGCATCCGCCCATCCCGAAATCTAAGCGCTTGAAAGGGCCGGTCTTCCTAAAAAGGAAAGAGACGATGACGCTGAATCCCCCAGGCCTCACCGACAGCACGGCGCTTTGGACCCTGGGCCCTCTCCTCTCGCCTTCTGGTGGGGAGGCGGCACCAGGCCCTGTGCTGAAGCCCCCAAAGTTGCCAAACAAAGCCAAGACCAAGCACTGAACTCAAGAGGCCATGTGCCTCTGATTGTAGTGCCGAAAAAGGGTCCTGACAAGTGTTGCCTTGGAAGGAGCCGTTGGGTGTAATGTGTGATGCACTATAGCTGCTATAGCTGCTAACTGGCACGAAACATGCGAAAGTGAATGGAAAGGTTTACAGTCACATATAAGTAGCTGCGAGGGCTCCTGCTGGGCAACGGGCAACGGGACAGCTCTGTACTCAAGACTAGAATGCTGCTTTTGGGGTAAATGGATCTGGTCGCCGATCATGAGCTGGTGCAAGGAACCAAGGGCCCTAAACCCACGAGTCCTGCCCTGAACAAAATTGGCCTTGGAAGCCGCAGACCGTGGTCTACCAGACGCTGCGAGCACCCAACACCGCGTGACAGGTATGCAGCACCAAAGGCTGAGAGAAGACCTGGAGCAGTTTTTCATGCGACACCCATCAAAACCCTAGAAGACTGGAGACCACAACCCTCCATGTAGCATTGTTGCCGAAACCACGACCAGCCAGTTGGCCCACCTGTTGCAGACCTCATACTATCTCACTAGAAACTCTACGTGCTTCAAGCTACTTCAAGCCCTGACCTCCCCGAGCCCAACCTGTGTCAATCAAGTTCCTGCTAGGCCGATCAGTTGCGCTCTGTGATCGTGCGTGTCTCTTGCCTGCACACAACGCAGAGCCGAAGGAAGATCCAGGGTTAAGAAAGTTGCGGGACTGAACGCGTTGACGATAACGACACCCGAGCACATGCTGCTGTCGTTGTTGCATCGTGCCTTTGCATGAATTGGCAGAGTCTACGCCGGTAAGGAATGCCTGCAGTTCATCAGCCGCGACCACTTTGACGTGGAGCTTCGGGACTCCGAGGCCAGCAGCTTGCTTCCCCCTGGTTTTGATGCACGAGTGGCAAGACTCGAGCAGATCCACAGGGTTTGAGTCCTATGCGTGGGTCAAGCGACTCGGTGTGCCCTCAAGCCTCTTGAAATCCAAGGCCACGGACTTCAAGCAGAGTGCATTCATGGACAGTTAGACCTCAAGAGTTTAAAAGAATTTAGAGCATTCCCCATCAGCCCCGGCCTGTAACCCAGGTGCGGCTCACCTCGCAGACTCCAAACCCTATGTGGCGTTTCCGGCCGGGTTCTCCACCTTTCGAGTTCGGCCGCAACGAGTCAGTCGCGCCTCGTCCTTCCCAAATGCTTGGAAGCTGGGCGACACTTTTCCATCACCTGAGTGGGAGCCGCTGACAACACGATGCATCGTTGCAACACGAACTGTGCTGCAAAGCGGTTCAACCTTGTGTGAGCAGCACGTTGCAGAAGTCAGTGTAGCAAGCTTTGTACCCCATCATAGCCCAAGGCCAGTCCAAGGTGCCTAAATCTGCACTTGTACACCCAAGCAGAAGCCAGTAAGTCCTGTCGCATTCATAGGCCGTGGAGGATGGCGATGCCATCGCCCTGGGAACGGGCATCGGCGATGCGCTGGCCACCGCCGAGGCAAAATTAAGGGCTTGTTTAGGAAGTTGCATCAGAGCTTGGGGGGTCTTGTGTAGGTGGCCATTCAGCGTTGGGTCTTTTGGGTCTTGCCGTCGAGACAGACGCTGCGGTGAGGGCTTTCGATCCCAAAGTGTAACAATCGTGAGAGAGTTCCGCTCCGCCTTGTGAGCTGAGCGTTTGATCTCTAGAGTAGTGTGGGTCCTTGCTCGGCTATTCGGGACAAGTCAGCCCGACTCTGGCCGCATGGAACCTCGCGCTCCAAATGCTGCTCTAGAACCAACCTTCTCTCAACTAGATCTGCCAAGCTACTCATGCGGTCCGAAGGGCTTGTTCCGGGCGCCCTCCCAAACCGAAGCGTTCCCTTTCTCCGGAAGGACGCCTTTGCACGCCTGCGCTGGACAGTTCGCTTGGCCGATGGCTCCAGGATGCCTTGGAAGCCTGGCACAGCCCTCAGAAGCCAAGGGGGCTCCAACTAAGTGGGCTTGTTGACCTCACAGGGGTTCTCATCATCTTTATAGACCTCATGCTTCGGCTCATGCCAAGGACGTTCCAAAAGCGGCCTCATCAGATGCTGCTCGTAGTCGTCAAGTTAGATACCCCACCAACAAAGAGCACA